GGGGGCCATCTGGCTGAGACAGCTCTTGAGGGAGGCCTGTCCTGACCCACAGGATGTGCTGTTTTCCCAGAAGAAGGTGCCTGGCAACCCAAATAGACCAAGGGGTGGACTGGGGAGTGAAGCAGTGCAGGCTGGGGTGGGGCATGGTGGGCCAGGAAAAGATGTGTGGAGAGAAGGTGCATGGGCCTGCGTTGAATCCTGGGCCTGGACTGACTCCTTGGTGAGATGGGGACTCAGCAGGACTTACGTGGATGTCACCTTGTTCATCAACAGGCACGTGGCAGATGGTGGAGCCATTGATAAGTGGGGAGCTATTATTTGGCCCCAAGACAGAGTCCGAGTTTGTTGACATTGCCCTGGAAAAACAGAGCATGCCCAGGATCTCAGTGAGAAGATGCCCTGACTCCAGGCACAGCACTGAGGGGAGATGATGATTTTCGGCCGAGGGTGGAGTGGCAGACGCAGACAGGAAAAAGTAATCCACTAGAAAGCGGGGAAAGGGACAGTGGAAAGGTCAGGAGGAGAGAGGAGTCTGGGGCTCCAAATGTAGAGGGCACTCAGGGGTAGGCCAGAACCTTTCCCACTGGTGAGGCTTGGCTGGAAGTCTAGAGCTGAATTCTAACTCAGGGCCCAGAGTGCTAAAGACAGGCTCACCAGGAGCTGGGCTGCCCGGGCTCCCAGCTCTAGGCTGAGCCTCCCCTATCTTGGGCAAGGGAAGAGCGAGGTGGCCCTGCCACCAAGCTTCACCCAAGATGGAACCACCAAAGGTCTTAAAATCCACTCCCTGGCTGGGTGTGGTGGCTCACACCTTTAATCCCAAACACTGCAGGAGGTCAAGCCTGGATGATCCCTTGAGGCCAGGAGTTTGAGACCAGCCTGGTCAAGAAAGTAAGACTCCTATCTCTAGAAAAATTTAAAAAGAAAAAAAAAATTATCCAGGCAGAGTGGCCCATGCCTGTAGTCCCTGCTACTCAGGAGGCTGAGGTGGGAGGATTGCTCACCCTCCTGAGCCCCGGATTTTGAGGCACCAGTGAGCCATGACCTTGCCACTGTACTCCAGCCTGGGCGACAGCATGAGACTCTGTCTCTGAAAAAAAAATAATAAAATAATTATTATTTTATAGAATATTTATTTTATACAATAATATTTTTTAAATATTCAAAGAATCTGCCCCCGCCTCCATTCTCCAGAGCAGGCCTTGGCTCCGAGATTCAGGTCTGCCAGGATCCCTAAGGGCTCCAGGGAAGTTGTCCTCATCTGGCATCCAGACAGGCAACTTGCAGGGGCAACCAGGCGGCTGGAAAGAGCGTGTTGGGTTTTGTTTTGGAAGCATGTATGGGAAGACAAGAAAAGGCCGCCTTTGTTTGGGAGGCTGGCCCTGGCTGGTGAGGCGCGCTCTCACTGGGCGGTGGCTGTCTGCCTTTTTGGGAGCAGCTGATGGACTGTCTGCAGGCCCTGCCCACCAGGCCTGGGGCGAGCTCTGCCCTCCCTGCTCGTGCTGCCCAGGACTCCATTCACTCGGCATTTCAGCACAACTAGGCCAGCCCTTCTCTCCACTGTTGGGGAAACTGAGGTACCACCACACTGTCACCAAGGGGTTGCAATGGGAAGAGTTGCTTAGACATGTGACCAGGGCCTGCTTTCCACTACTACCAACACTGTACAGAGGTCAGTGCGTCCCCACGGGATGCGGAGGTCAGGCCTGTGACCTTCCTTAGGAGCATGGGATAAAATGAGGGGCTTCATGTTTTCCAGGCAGAACTCTTTGGAGAGGCTTTGGCTTATGAGGTGGGGAGAGGATGGGCCCCACCCAAGGAGCTGAACTCCAGGAAGGTGGCAATTCTCCCCTTGGCGGAGACCCAGGACCCCCTCACACCCAGCACCTGAGAGTGGCTGGGCCAGGGTGGCAGTGGTGTGACATCCCATGTCAACCTCAACAACACCCCTGTGGCAGTCCTAAGCACAGAGACATTTGTCTTCAAATGAACCCATTAGTCTAACCAGGAGTCCCCAGAGGGGGACAGTCCAGAGGGACCTGGCCCTGGAGAGCCTGCATGAAAAAGTCCTGGAGCCCTTGCAAGGCTCAGCATGGCGAAGGGGGCAAAATGTGACTGGCATTGGTGTCTCTGCAACCTAGGCAAATGGGGGTTCCAAACAGATTTAATTTGATTTAGAAGAGCAAGAAATGTGATTTAGAAACACCAAGAAAACCCATTTTCAACTGGGGTGCCTCAGGTGGACTTGTGCCTGTTGTAGGTATTTGATAAGATTTCTTCTCCAGGTCAGGTGGTTTCTCTCGGCCAGGCCTTGGCTCACATTGGCTCATGTCCCCCGAATGCCTCTCCCTCTGCTCCCAGCCCCACCCTGCCAGTCCCACCTAGCTGCCTCTGGGAGCCTTCCTTGCATCCGAAGATGGGATGGGTCCTCTCTTGTCTCTTCCCAGGTATGCGGGTTCTCAGATGCAGGCAGAACTGATGCATCTGTCTTCATTCCTCTAAAGTACCCTTCACACCTCAGGGCTGTCCCACAGGCAATTCCCTCTGCCCTTGTGGAACTTATGAGACATCACTCAAATGCACATGTCAACAGCATGATGTCAATGTGATCACTGCAAAGAGGAAACCTCCACTCTTGCCCCATCCAGAGTACCCTCCACACCTCAGAGCTGTCCCACTGGCAATTCCTTCTGCCTGGAATGCGCCTTCCCAGAACTGGTTAACGCCAGCTCCGATGGCCCCAGCCAGGCCCCTAGGGAGTGAATGATCTTTCGGGTCATCCCAGCACCCAGCCTTCAAGTCTCTAGCTGAGTCCTCAGACATCATGAAATAGAGACACGCCAGACTCAGTGTCCTTTTTCCATTTCCGACCCACAGTAACGTGGAAGGTAAGAAGTAACTATTGTTGAAGCCACTGCTCTTGGACATAATTTGTTACACAGCAGTAGATGTGAAGGCTGACTCCCCATTCCTGCCCCTCCCTCTGAGTAGGGTGCTGTGAGGGGTGCTGAGTAGGGTGCATTCCTGCCCCTCACAGCACCTTACTGGTTTCTTCTTTACACTGACCACATTGTCATCATGACTGTTTGCATGTGTATTTGAGTGATGCCTCATTAGCTCCATGAGGGCAGGAACCTTGGCTGCTGTGCCCACTGTTTTGTCCCTAGCAGTGAGCACAGCATGGTGCCTGGCTCTGTGTTCAAAACATGAACCTTGAATGAATGAATGAATGAATGAATGAATGAATGAAGGTGGTAAGAGGCAGGAGCCTATCTCAGTGACCTGGAGGTGGAATTTGAATCCTTCCTAGAACCTCCTGTCTCCTCCTTCTGGGAACCAGCAGGTGACAGTGAGTGAGGTGGTATGGGGGCTGGAGGAGGAGAGAGTAGGTGGCAGCCAAGGGTAGGTCCCCAGTCACCAGTGCAGGGAGGATTTCAGACTCTGATCCACTGGCAGCGCTTCCTCCTCTTTGTCTCCTTTGGCCTCTTCTTATTGTTTTGGACACACCAGCTGCTTCCTGTCGCACACCTGGAGGATGGGCTGTGCTGTTCCTCGGCACCCTCCCACAGGCCGGGCTCTTGCATCTTTCATGCCCACTCCCACAGGGCCCACATGTTTCTCCTCCAAGGAGACTCCCAGGTTACCCTGAGGCTCAGGCACCTGTTGGTTCCTGTTACTGCCCCAGGGTCCCTCATCAGCACGAGGGAAGCGGGCAGTGTGACGTCTTCAGGTCACTTGAAGTGAACACAAGTTGACTAAGACTCAAAACAACAAAATACGCAAACAACCCCCACCCCAAACTCCTTCCCTCTACCCATATCATAGCACCATCATCTGACAAGTAACAGAGACACCTCAGGTGACCCAGGAGGCGCCTTTGCCGCCATCTCTCCTTGGAGGTGGCACCCTCCCAGGAGGCTCCCACCCAATCCCCTTGTCTTCTTGTCTCTGAGGCTTTTTCTGAGGTCGGGGGAGGGGGCGTCCTCCCCTCTACCCAGCATAACTTGGTTGGATGCTGTGGCATGGACCTTGCTTGGGGTAAGGGAGTGCCCTGTGCCCTCCAGCCGTCCCTAGTTCCAGGTTTCCTTTGTTCTAATTTTCTAGCTTGATGAAAATGTTGGCATGTTTATAGGACCACGAACAAAATGCAGTGAGATTTACCTTTTGCATTCCCTGAAACAGTCAGCCTGTTTCCTGAAACAAGCTTCCTTGACCTTTGGACATTCCAGGAGTCACAGTTCCCACCCCACGCTGCCCCCACCCACTGGCTAGCTGATCCTTCCACTGTGCTGTACTAAGGCTATGCTTACACTGACATCACTGAAACCCTACATGCCAAGCTGTGCAGAGAAAGGCAAAGTGTTCCAGGAAGCAAGGGAGTACAGATGGTCCCTGGTGGCTCTGTCTGCAGGTGAAAAAATGCAGGTGAAAAATTGCAGGTGGGGGTTGTTTTTGAGGGCCGTGTAGGCACTGATCTGGGAATCAGCCAAGGGAGCATAAAACCTGGCACCACCTCCCATAATCTGGGTGCCTAGCACCCTCCATTTAACTCTGGCTTGGTGGAACCCCCTTGCACTTCCCTTCACAAGTGCCACTTGGGTCACAGGCCACCATTCTGTTCATTCACCTGACAGTGCGCCCTTCTCCTGGTCCCTGCACCTCTGGCACACACAGATGATGGTGAGTTGACTCCACCTGGCGGCTCCTTGGCCCAGGTTGTCAGTGATGACTCAAGGCTGAGCTGCCTATTTCCTGGGAGGCGCTTCTTAGAAAGGGATAGGCCCTGCCACTTCCCAGGTAGCTTTCAGCAACCCCCACCACCTCTCCCACCGGCCTTTGACAGAGTTGCTTGCCAGCCTTCTCAGCTGGGGCTTCCTGGCAACTGCACCTTGCCGGGGCTTGCAACCCAGCAGCATGGCAGGGGCTGATGGCCACAGGGGTGTCATGGGAGGCACCAGAGGGCCACAGGATCCCCAGCCTGGGTCTGTCTCTAGGTAACCTCAGAATGCACGCATGGAAGAGGATCATCCTCTTGTTGGGCAACAGAGGAGACTGAGGCAAAGAGAAGAAACCTTTCTGATGTGCTCCTCCTCACTGGACCTTTCTTATCCAGCTTCCCTTCCATGGCCCACACCCAGAGGCGGCAATTGGCTGGCTGTGCACAAGGATGAAAATGGATTAGAACCAGGGTATGCACTGACCCAGGGACCATGCGTCCAAATGCTGGTAAGCCACCTATGAAGGATGCCCATGGGGTGGCATCAACTAAGCCAGCCAGACTACGACCAGACTAAAGAATATATAGGGATTGGGGGATAGAAGTGAGAGGGGACAAGAGGGGACCAGAGAGCCCGGAGCCAAGGCTGTTGCTGCCCCCAAACCACCTCAGGCACTGTGGACCCCAAGTCCTGATGGGCCCCCAAGCCACCTCAGGCACTGTGGACCCCAAGTCCTGTTGGGCCCCCCAACCACTTCAGGCACTGTGGACCCCAAGTCCTGATGGGCCTCAACGAGGCTCCCCCTGCATTACTCTCACCCTCATCAGGCTCCTGTGTTGGCTACCACCTGTCCAAATATATCCACCTGCATTCAGTGTTTTCATTTTTTTCTGTAAGCTTTATAGTTTTACATTTAGACATGATCCACTTTTTTTGTTTGTTTGAGACAGAGTCTTGCTCTGTCACCTAGGCTGGAGTGGATCTTTGCTCACTGCAACCTCCACCTCCTGGGTTCAAGTGATTCTTGTGCCTCAGCCTCCTAAGTAGCTGGGATTACAGACAGCTGGTGGCTGTACCACCATGCCCAGCTAATTTTTGTATTTTTAGTAGAGATGGGGTTTTGCCATGTTGTCCAGGCTGGCCTTAAATTCCTGGCCTCATGTAATCTGCCACCTTGGCCTCCCAAAGTGTTGGGATTACAGGCATGAGCCACTGTGCCTGGCCATAATCCATTTCTATTTAATTTTTGTATATGATATGAATATGGCTGGAGGTTCATTTTTGGTTTATTGATTATATTAGTTTTCTGTGCTGCATAAAGACCACAAACTTAGCAATACACATTTATTTTATCACAGCTTCTGTGGGGCCAGCAGTCTCTGCACAGTTTGGCTGCATCCTCTTCTTAGAATCTCCCCAGGCTGCAATCAGGGTGTCACTGGGCTGTGTTCTCATCTGGAGGCTTGACTGGGGAGAATCTGTTCTAAGTTCATTCAGATTGTTGGTGGAATTCATTTCCTTGTGGCTGGAGTACTAAGGGGTCCAGCTCCCTGCTGGTCACTCACAGCTCCTAGAGGTCTCCTACAAGTCCCTGTCACATGGACTTCCCAAACATGACTGCTTACTTAATCAAGACAGCAAGGAGAGTCTGGAGCAGTCAGCTAGCAAAATGGAATCTTATATAATGTAACATAATCATGAAAATGACCTCTTGTAGCTTGTCATGCTCTATTGATTAGAAGCAAATCACAGGTCCCACCCATACTCAAGGAGAGGGGTTCCACTAAGGTGTGAACACCAAAAGGCAAGGGATCCTGGGAGCCATCTAAAAGTGAGTCTGCCCACCATGTGGACACATTATTTGCGAAAAAAAATATCCATTCTCCATTGAATTGTCATCACAGTGGGGTTTCTTTGATTTTGCTTTTTGAGACAGAGTCTTGCTCTGTGTTGCCCAGGTTGGAGTGCAGTGGCGTGATCTCAGGTCACTGCAACCCCCACCTCCCAGGCTCAAGCAATTCTCGTGCCTCAACCTCCCGAGTAGCTAGGATTACAGGTGTAAGCCACCATGCCCAGCTAATTATTTTGTATTTTTTAGCAGAGACAGGGTTTCACCATATTGGCCAGGCTGGTCTGCAACTCTGGCCTGAAGTGATCTGCCCACCTCAGCCTTCCAAAGTGCTAGGATTACAGGCGTGAGCCACTGCGCCTGGCCCACAGTGTTTTAAAAGAACCAATCAATCATATTTGTGTGAGCCTATTTCTGAACACTGCCATCTATTCCATTGATCTTTGTGTCCATCCTTTTGCCAATAACATAATGTCCTAGGTGGAGTGCAGTGGCTCTTGCCTATAATCCCAGCACTTTGGGAGGCCAAAGCTAGAGGACTGCTTGAAGCCAGGAGCTCAAGACCAGCCTGGGCAACATAATGAAACTCCATCTCTACAAAAACAAACAAGCCCATAACATACTGTAGCTTTATAGTGAATCTAGAAATCAGGTAGTGTGAGTTCTCCAATTTGGTTGTTCTTTTTCAAAATTATTTTTGGATATTTTGGGTCCTTTGCCCTTCCATATACACTTTACAATCAGTTTGCAAATTTTCACCCAAAGAAGCCTGCTGGAATTTTTATTGGGATTGCTTTGAATCTATAGAAGTAATCAAAAAATTTGAGTCAAGATTTAAAAATCGATATGAGTGGACATGTTAACAACTTCAGATTTCTCAGTTTTCTTGGAAAATGAGAAAAGGGGGCACCACCAGGCCTGCAATCCTATAGGGCGACAAACAACTTCCCTCCTTCCTAGATGGCCACACACTCAGTGCACCTGCGTTTCCCCCTTCCCCCGACCACAGGGACTCACACTCTTCTCTTCACACTTTGTTGCTGGCCTGGCCCTCTTAGACACTGGAGTTGGTGGCTCCTGTGTTAGCTTCTCTTGGCTCTGACTTTTGTGGGGCAGGATGCTCTCCCTCTCACTCTTGGCCTTGCTAACATGTTCTCATCCTTCAGAACTCAGGGCTCCAGGAGATCTTCCCATACCCAAGTGAGGTGAGGACTCCAGGCTTGTGATCTCGGAGCTCCCTGTGCTTATCCTCAGTCATTGCCCCGGGAGTGAGGTGTTCGTTGGGGTGATCAGTTACTCAATGTCTGTCTCTCCCAGAGAGCTCCCTGAGGCCAGGAACCATGTCTTTCGGTCACTGCTGTATCTCCAGTGCCCACCATAATGTCTGGCTCATAGTACATGCTCAATAAATGTTCACAGAATAAATGAGCCCTTCTCCCAGGCTGCAGCTGATACCCTAGAAGAGCTCCTTCCGTCCTCCAGCCTCCCCACCTCATTCCCTTGGTCCTCTTGTTTGGTAATGTTCCTGTGAAAAATGTGCAAGTAGGACTCTCATGTTCCTGGCCTGGAAACTGCTAACTTCTACCAAGATAGATAAGCTCTTCAGAGCCTAGGGCAGGCCCTGGCTGGACACGCAGGACACGGTCCCGTGCATTGCTCTGAGGGCTCTGGCTTATTTTCTGGTCGCAGTCATTTTAAGAAATTAAAGCATTATTTGCATACATTAAAATGCACAGACCCTAATTGTTCGATGTTTTGACAGTTGTATACACCCACATAACCACCATGCAAAACAAGATACAGGACACTTCCACCATCCCAGAAAGTCCCTTCATGTGCTTCCCCTCCCCACCACTCTCTGGCTGCTGTTCCCATGTAGTTTTGCCTGTTCTTGAAATTTATATAAATGGAGTCATCCAGTGTGTACTCTGTGCCTGGCTTCTTAAACTCAACATAACACCTGGGAGATTCATCCACCTTGCTGCATCTGCCCATGCAGTCTGCATACACTGTATGTACTAGTCTGCATATCTGTTGCATAGTATTCCATCATAAGGGTGTTCCACAGTTACATGATGCATTCACTTACCTGTTGCACACTTGGGTTGTTTCCAGCTTTGGCTTTTAGGAACAAGAAGGCTGCTATTCACATTCTTGGGCAAGTCTTGTGTGTGTGTGTGTGTGTGTGGACATATGGTTCATGCTCTTAGGTAAATACCTAGGAATGGCACTCCTGGGTCATAGGGTAGATACGTATGCCATTTTGTTTTCGAAGGCAGCTTTGGCTTGTTCTTCCTGCTGTTGACCTCCTCTGCTCTGGATGGGAAGAGGAGATTCCAAGAATCAGGGCCGGTTGGAGCTATAAGAGCCTTCAGAGGTCAGCCCCCAGCTCTCATCCTGATATGGGGATCTAAGCTTATGAGGGCATGGCTCATCCACGATGCACAGAGCCAGACCTGACAGGGCCAGAATGGCAACTGGGCCTAGACTCCGGCCCAGCAGAGATAGAGAGGGGTCTGGATGGCAGTGATGGCAGTGGTGCCAGGCCTGGCTTCTGCTGATGTTGTCGGTGTTCCTGATACATTTGCTTCTGGCATCAGCCAGGTTGGGAGGGTGTCTGTTCTTGCAAGTAAAAGTTTCTTGATGGAAACATGTAGAAGTGCAAGGTGCAGACCCTGCTCACTGCCCTGTACCCCAACCTAGTGGGAGTAATGGGAGATGCTGGCCAGCTGAGTGATTGAAGCCACAGCTGCACAAGGGCAGAAGCCATGCCGAGTTGCTAACAGCCATGTGCTTCCTGTGCCTGACTGAACACAGAAGCTGCCCAAAAAAATGACAGCTGCACGGAAGGACGGTACAAGCTGCCACAGGCTGATGTACTCAGGTGGGGCTCCACGGGAGACTTCCTGGAAGAGGGGGCCTGGAGCTGATGCTGAAGCACCACCTCTCCCAAATCTCACAGGGCTCTCCTAGTCCTCCGTGGGTTCACAGCCGCCCCACCCAGCAGCCGGGTGGGGACTCTCACATATGTTCGCGCGCTTGGACACTGATACCCGGAGAAGGGAAGAGGCAAGCCCAAGGGAGTCCACAGAAGAGCTGGAACCAGAACTGGGCTGTGTTTGACTGAGAGGAGATGGCTGTGAGTGACACGGGGAGGGACTTCCGCCCTCGCTGCCCTACAACAACCCTTCAGAGAGCAGCGGTGCCTGGGCCTGGAAGTGTGAGTTTCCACTCTGAACAGATGGTTGCAATTACCAAGTGCAGGACGGGCAGGCGAGGAGCACACTCCCATAGAGGGAGGGGAGCAGAGTGCTGCAGAAACATCCCGAGCACAGGCCAGCTGGACCGTGACTCCTCCAGCACTGCAACTTCAAACATGAAACTGCCTTCTTTTTGCTACTTCTCTCCACCACCTGGACATATGGTTCTGACAATTTCATACAATTTTTAAAGACAAGAAAAAAGTTCTCTTTTCCTTGGAAAGCTGTGCCCAGTTGGTTTTCTATAGATTTGCTCTCTGGAAGTTCCCCTTGGCAGGATGTCAAAGCCTTAGGGGAGGCGGGGGCCCCCCTAGCTCTCAGGCTTGGCCAGTTCTGAACACGACAAAGGCTGTGGGCGATGATTTCTCCTCGGCCATGGAAATCAGGTGTTCCAATGCACAGGAGCCCTGGCCCTGCCTTTCCACACTCTCTCTCCACTCCATGCCCCCCACCCCTGTCTCTGTCTCTCTCTCTCTCCCCACTCTTTAAAAAGGGTCCTTGACTGGCCCAGTTGCTCATGCCTGTAATCCCAGCGCTTTAGGAAGCTGAAGCAGGAGGATCGCTTGAGGCCAGGAGTTGGAGACCAGTGTAGGTAGCTCAATCCCATCTCTAAAGATAAATACATAACTAAAAATAACAAAATACAATGAAAAGGGTCCTGTTCTGTCCTGTACAGGAGGAAGATGAGTGAAGCCGTGTTTTTTTTTGCTTTGAGATGGAGTCTCACTCTGTTGTCCAGGCTGGAGTGCAGTGGCGCGATCGCGGCTCACTTCAACCTCCGCCTCTCAGGTTCAAGTAATTCTTCTGCCTCAGCCTCCTGAGTAGCTGGGATTACAGGCATGCGCCACCACGCCCAGCTAATTTTTTTCTATTTTTAGTAGAGACGGGTTTTCACCATGTTGGTCATGCTGGTCTCGAACTCCTGACCTCAGATGATCCGCCCGCCTCAGCCTCCCAAGTGCTAGGATTACAGGCATGAGCCACCATGCCTGGCCAGCCTTTTTTTTCCCCCCCAAATTTAACTTTTAAGTTCAGGGGTACCTGTACAGGTTTGTTATATAAGGGAACTTGTGTCATGGGGGTTTGTTGTGCATTATTTTTCCTAATCTTCTCCTTTCTCCCATCCTCCACCCTCCAATAGGCGCCAGTGTCTGTTGTTCCCTTCTTTGTGTCCATGAGTTCTCATCATTTATTAATAGGTCCCACCTGTAAATGAGAACATGCGGTATTTGGTATTCTATTCCTGTGTTAGTTTGCTAAGGATAATGGCCTCCAGCTACATCTCTGTTTCTACAAAATACATGATCTCATTCTTTTTTGTGGCTGCACAGTATTCCAGAGTGAAGCCTTTTAAAAATTTATACAAAGTTGAGGTTGTGGCCGGGTGTGGTGGCTCACAGGTGGGCGGGTCACCTGAGGTTGGGAGTTCAAGACCAGCCTGGCCAACATGGCGAAACCCTGCCTCTACTAAAAAGTACAAAAATTAGCTGGGTGTGGTGGCAGTCACCTGTAATCCCAGCTACTTGGGAAGCTGACGTGGGAGAATTGCTTGAACCCGGGAGGCGGAGGTTGCAGTGAGCTGAGATTGTGCCATTGCACTCCAGCCTGGATGACACAGCAAAACTCCGCCTCAAAAAAAAGGATGACTAAAGGAAAAAGAACTAGCCCAACCCTGGTTATGTAGGGCTTGCTGGATGTAAATGGAGAATGGTATTCGCTTGCAAACCAGGGTGACCAAGTGTACAGACAGGGGACACTGAGACTCCAGGCAGTTAAGGGAACCTCTTGAGTAGAAGTTACATACATTAAGTCATGATTAGGAATGACTGTGCTCCATTAAATGCTCTCCCAAAAAAAAAAAACAAAAAAAAACCACTTGATTTTTTTTCCCCAAAGAGGAACCAGATGCATTCTCCTGCTCCCAGAGAAGGCTGTGAACTATGCAGTCTTAGGTAGCAGGGCTAACTTTCCCCTGGGTCCTGGCCCTTCAAGGAGGGTGCACATGGAGGCCAGAGGTGCAGACAGACGGTGGGTCCTGCAGAGGAGCTGGCTCATCTCAGCAGTCTTGGGAAGACTGAGCCCCATCATCTGGTACCAGGACCTTTGGGCCACCTCATGCTACTGACAGGCTGAGCTCCCCAGAACAGACATTGGGAACAGCTGAACAGTGAGTTGTCCGTGCATCGAAGGCCCCCATCTCGACCCTACCATGCCCTTAATACGCCCCAGGAATAGAGCTAGGTTAACTGGAAACTCAGGTTGCCATCTTGTTCCAAGAGTCAGTGAGGGCTGGAGCCAGAGTCATCTCCAAGGTGCAGAAACACAGGCTTGGGAAGGGTTTTCCAGAGGAGAGTGTGCACCCAGGTGGCCTTCCACACTGGGGAGAGGAGGCAGAACACATCCCTTAGGATATAGCCAGACCCTCTTCCCTGACTTCTCCGGCCCCAAGATACTTATGAGTTCTTCTAAAGCTCCCCCACGGAAACTTCCTTTCCATTTGCTGTTTCCTTGTTTGAGCGCTCTCCTATCCACAGCACCCCTCCCCAGCCCAGTTAGCTCCCTTCCACCCCATCTGCACTTCCAGGCTCTGATTTCCCTGCCCTATGAGGCCTCCACAGTGGCCCATCCCAGCAGACATTTAGTATGCAGAAGCTATAAACAGGGTGGTAGACATCAAGGCATGAATGAATGGCCACCTAGCTGTGGATTCCTGAGCCATTCTGTGGAGGGACAGAGTGCTGCTCTCAGAGCGTGGAGACCTGGGTTCAAGTCTTAGCTCTGCTAATCACAGAACGGCCGTGCCTCAGTTTCTTCATCTGGGAGGTGGGATAACCATGTTTGCCCACCCTGCTGGGCTGCTGTAGCGATAGATTCAACTGAGAAGATGCTGAGCAGCTCTGGCTGGGACCAGGGGTCCCTGCGAGAGATGCCTGAGAACAAAGCGGTGTGGCCTGGGTCTTCAGTCTGGCAAGGGGCTGTGGAGAAGGATGGGGTCCAGGCCCGTGTGTGTCATTTCACATTAGGGTGGGTTCTCAGGTCCCAGACCTAGCCCCTGACACAGATTTTCCTGGTCGTCCCTGTGATACTGGGATTCCAAGCCCCAAAGGGGTGGTTTGGGCTGGGGATAGTAATTCTGATAAGCTGGAGTGCTGGAAGGTCTGGGATGGACGCCACCTCCGCAGAGGCCAAATGGTGGACGAGGGCCTCTTCCGGCCATGCCTTGTGCCTTCTTAGAGCCAGAGTTCTCCGAGGGAGGGACCGGGTGACCGGCAGTCCCGCTTCACTGTCCCCACCTCTACAGATGTGAGATGCTCTGGGTGGTCCTCAAAGCCAGAGTTCCTGGGCTGGGGAGGTGGCGGGGGTGAAGCTGGGAGTGTCAGACAACTGAAAAAGGCTTACAGGGAAAAGAAACCCTTATCTTCAGGGGAGGCAGTGGAAAGAACAAATGTGGGAATAAGACCAGGACTCAGTCCTGCCTTACCGAACAGCTGATGGCCATGGGCAACCGAAGCCAGCCGGGCCTCTGTCCACACTGCAGCTGAAACGAGGGCTCTCCACTGGGTGGCCTCCTCCTTCCCTTCTCAGCAGTGTGGCTGGCCCTGCTGGGCTCTCAGGCCCCTGGTGCCTGTGGGATGGTGACCAGGGTTTGCAGGGAGTGTGCGGTGGGGAGGATGAAGGTGCTGCTTTGTGGAAAGAAGCTTGCAAGCTCAGTGCATACTAGCTGCTCTCCTCCCTCTCGTGCAGAAACTGTCCCCACATGTAATTAAGCCAGCTTCTGTCAGGAGGTGAGGACACACAGCGGGGCCAGGTCGGGAGAAACACCCGATGCCAAGGCCAGCCCCACTGGCACTCAGGAATGAGGAGGGAGCCGGAGGGGTCCCGGCCTCCCCTGCTCCGTGCCCCACTCTGCATCCTGCCTCTGCAGGGCCTTGGATTTGAAAACCACCAAAGGTCAGATGAGGCCCTGAGGGATCCTGGCTAGAGCCACATGTATTCTAGGGAACACTCACCAGCCTGGATGCCTTCCTCACCATGGGACTCAGGATGGAAGGACTCTCCCAGGAGCCAGGCCCATTTCTTAGGATTCAGTACTGGTTGCAACCATTGCAACTACTCTTTAGTAGGGAGGTGGTTCTCAATCGTGAGGGCACGCCGGGTCACCTGGGATTACCAGAAAACATGGATGTCAGATTCTGATCTCCCGGGTCTGGGGTGTGGCCTGGGCAGCGCTGCCCCTGGGGATCCCAATGCACAGACCGGGTCACAGACCACCAGCTCTGAGGGCAGCAGCTCTAGCCCATGACAGACGAGGGCCTGAGGCCTTGAGAGGCTGCCTAACTTCCTCAAGATCACGGAGAGTAAGTGCAGGAGCAGGTGATGCCCTCACCCCACAGGCTGACTGGGCATGAGGCCTTCAGAAAAAGGGCCATTCTGGTTGTTCTCTCCCTTCCCGGGCACTGTCCCCTGCATGCAGTGGCTGCTCAAGATCAGGGATGGAGGAACCCTGGAGGGGCTGGGAACGTGCAGCATCCGCAGGGGATGAGGGGTTTGGGCCCCACCCCTCACCAGCCGGGCCTCATGTCCCTTTGCCACACAGCAGGAAGTAGTAAGGGTTCCCAGACCTTCTCAGAGTGGAGGTGTGACGTGCCAGGGATCCTGAGGGGCTGGCAAGGGGAGAGGGTCCTACTGGCATCGAGACACCCCCTGGTTTGGGGGAAGTCCCCTGAGCAAGTCTGTGTGCGCAGCTGCTGGGGGCAGGCTGCGGGAGGCCCTCTCCTTCCTGCTGCCTGTTTTGGTGGCTGAAACTTTAGATGGATCCAGGAGCCAGACAGGCGGGCAGACAAGCGCATTCTTTTTGGGGGAGGCCGCCTCCTCCTCTTCTCACTAGAAGCAGGGAGGAGGGGAGGACAGGGCCTGCCCAGGCCTGACCCCAGACTGGGTTTCGGGCTGTGGGGCCAAGCAGGGCTCCCTGGGGACTCGGGGCTGGGGAAGGAAAGCCCCAAAGGCTGGAGTCTGCGGTTTGGAGTCCTGGGACTCTGGGAGCTGAAGCCACCAGGCAGGAGGGGGTGGAAGGGGGCTGGTTCAAGAAGCCCTAAGCCTCTGGGCTTTTGGCTCCAGCACTGGCTGTGGGTACTTCTGCTCTGTTTCTGGGCAAATCCCTGCCTGCCTAGCCCATTTCCCCAGTGAATGTCCCCAGCCCTGGCACCCTCGGTGTGGAGGGGA